ACGCAAACCCCCACAAAAACCCCCCCAAGATATTTGTTAACACCATTCATAGAGGGAGGGGGCATGTGGGGACACAACACTGTTCTAGGGTAACCACAAGGATATTGGCCATGATGTTTTTTTGGTTGATTGTGATTTGTTATTCTGTGTGAACTTAAACTTTAGAGAAGCATAGAGTTAGAATGTTTGGTCTTGGCTCATTTCTGTAGATTATAATTAAAATCTTTGTATCTAAAAAATGAGAGACTACAACTGAAAATGAAAATGTTTTCTTTATTGTGGATGTTCACGGACATAGCTCAAAAATATGTCTTAACAATATATCCAAGCCTACATAAGAACAAATGCACACTTGTTTCTTTTCAAGGTTTAAGAGCATAAATCAGTGTCTTAGAAATGATTCAAGGGAAAAAACAAAAAATGTTCTAATGTAAATCTTCTAGCTGTATGTATCTTTTTTTATTGTCTATTTTCTGTTGGACAATTTTTATATGATCTCCCTTTAGAGGGAGATTATAGTTGTGGGCACATCATACTATATTGTCCTTCCCCAAGGTTACATGCATTCTCAACCATGTATTCATTCATTTTCTCTGCATTAGGCCTGCATATTTATAAGAAAAGGCCTATGTGAGTCAATACTTGCATATATAGGTTGCCTGTATTTTGAGGGAGACTTTACCTTAATTCATCAATTGCTTTATTGTGCTGTGGTACACTGTGTGTGGATGCTTGTGTGTGAGAGAGACATAACCATTATAACTTATATTTATAAATTAAATTAAATTTAGTACAGGCAGTCCCTGGGTTAAGAATATCCAAGTTACGGACAACTCATACCTACGAACGGGCTGCCTGTTACTAAACATGGTGAACGGAGTTCTCCTTCTTGGAGCCGACAAACCACTGAAGTCACACAATGTTTTCATGGACCACAGAAGCTGCACATTTTTAATATAAAGCCTGTTTTCAGCAGTTCATGAAAACATTGGGCCGCTTCAGCAGTTCGTCAGCTTGAGAAAGGAGAATGTCGTCCGCCATTTTTAATAATAGGCAGCCTGTTCCTAAGTATGAGTTCCAACTTACATACAGATTCATGTGAAAGACAGTCTTGGGAACAGAACTTGTTCTTAACCCAGGGACCGCCTACACCTAGGCTACTTTGTAGGCCAAATCAGAACTGATTAGTTTTTGGCTGGAAAATTATAAAGCAGTGGGGGGGGAGATTTTTTTTTGTTTCTGCAATTCAAATCTGAACTGACACAGAATTTCATACACTGCATAACAATTATATCTTCAAAAGCTAATATAGATTGCATGGGAAAAGCCTTACAGGAAAATAAAAAAAAACCCTACTCTGATATGTAACAAAAACCAATATTTATTAATTTATATAGAAGTGCTACATTTGCTAAACACCCAAACACAAATATTCTGTATAACAAAGAAAAGTTAAGCCTACAATTAATTTTTAATTTTTTAAGGCAGTATAATCTACTAAATACAATACAAATAAATAAAATACAAAATTCCATAAATTGTTTCACTAAGCTGTGTGGTATTTTCTTCAAAATGTTCTAATTCAAAATGATACTTACCTTTAAAGGAATAAATATGTTAATTATAGAACCATTATTATTAACTGACCAATTGTATTATTTTTGATAGAAACATTTTAAAATAATAAACTGTACTGTTTGGAATATTATGTGGGGAAATAGAACAGGGTTGTTTTTAATAAATCACAAATGAGTACAGTTTATGTGATGAGTACAGTTTGTGATGAGTAGAGTTTATCAGCATGTTTAAGTGAACAGTCATTTTTCTTTAAATACCTAAGTTGCTAGTACATTTGATGGGCCTACCTACTCAGCCACACTTCATCAGTGTTCATTGCACCCACACATCTTGGGATATGGCAAACATGCAATCAGATCACTCTGTCTTTCCATCCACTCATATATTTTACTCCATGATCATTTGATCAGAGTGATCATGATACCATACTGGTGCATTAATTGCTCTACCAACACAGAGATCTAAAATAATCTCCCATAAAATGCTACCAATACTTGCAGACCTAGCATCCAGTTATTTGGAAATAATTTCTTCAAGATTTTTCTCAATAAGTAGATGCCAATGGAATACACTTTTCTTTTCCTCTACAATATGCAACACATTTCTCATGGAAATCTACTTTATGATCTAAAGTCTACAAAGTGCTGAGAATCTGTAACCCAGGGAACTATTTGAATACTAGGTAGCTTCGACTTGGGTAATGCCTGCTACTCTTTCCAACAATCTTGTGCTTTATTATCTATTCCATGGTCACGAATGACGGAATAAAAAGAATTCCCACTTTTCTTCACATACCTGTATCAATATCTCAGTTCCAGAGAATGCCATGAGTCAGAATGGATGCACTGAAACTTCTATATCTTTACACAGGCTATTGGACAAGTGAGCACATAACCTATATGGTTGCAAATAAAGTAATTAAATTATTTATGTGCTGTAAAACACTCTAATTTGGTTGCTGAAGTTCTCACATATGTGATTTCAAACTTATTGGAAATGTTGCTGTTCCTTCCTCTCTTATATCTTACCAAATGGATTTACCCTTTTCAATTTTTTCCTTCTCAATTTACAACCCACTCAATTTCCTTTCTTCTGCTGCTCTTTCATATTTCACTGAAGAAGGAATCATATTGTGTGTTTTCAAGCCACAGAATGTTATCAAATCTCTTTCCATTCCTTATAGCCCCTTCCACATAATTCACATGGCGCTCTGGTGCACACCGCATTTATCAATGTAACAAAAATATTTGCTGCAATTCTTCATTCTATTAAATGAATTAATTATTTGATTATTTAAAATGCAATATTTAGAATTAAAGAATACCAGTTCAAGAAACAAACCCAGTTTTCTTTCATGCCCTTTTTTATTTCAATGTCCTCCAACCGTCCAAGTATAAATATCTGCATTTAATAGGCAATTTTTATGACAACCGTGGGGATCCCTTAATGAAAAAAAGACTGCAAACACTTTATTGCAGAAATCCTAACCATTTTTTATATAATTTGATAATTAACAGTAGGAGATACTACAAATGGACATTATAATATACAACCACACAAAGACTGACAAGTAATACACAATTCAGAGGATCTCTAACAGTTCACTTTAAGGTAAACATTAACAAACAAGGAATTACATGAATGCAAGCTCAGGTGCTACCGTATTTTCAAAATGAAGGGAAATATTTGGCAAAAGTGATAAAGCACTATATACAAAATATACATTAAAAGATACATTTGTAAACAAGATAGCTAGATGTGCTTTAAAGAAAAAAGTGAAAGGTTTTCCCCCCCCAGTACAAGTAGCTGTAAACTATGAAATACCTCCCAGAGAGAAACATTTTGATTTGGGGGTGCGTTTGTGTTCAGTTTTATTCCCAAAGCACAGATTCAGACTATAAATGGAGTATTTATTGTACTGAAGAGTATTTTTCCTTCTCCGCTTGTTTTAAATAATTCATGAGTGGAAAATGAAAATGCTACCACTTCATGGACATTTAAAGACTGGCTGCTGATTTTATTTTCTGAGGCTTATAAATATGAACAAATCCCACCTGGTTTATTTCTTCCCCAGGGAAATGCATTTAGCATACTTGTAAAGATCTTATAAACAGTCAGTTCATAATTAGGTTATGCTTGATTGACTGTAGTTAGGAAACAGGAAAAATGCCCTGGAGGAGGCTCAACATTAAATTAACTTCTGTAAGGTTATATAAAAAGTAAGGAAAATTAATGAATTCTCTTCTCATTTTAGCATTCTTGTCTATCATAATCTTTGATGTTTCTATCTAAGTTTCCAACCAAATCTAATACTTTTCCTTGACGTTTCATCAATTTAAACTTACTTAATGAATCATGAAATTAAAGAAAGGTTTAGGAAAACTAAAAAAAAAACACGCTCACATTCTAGCCCCAAATAGCTCCAACATGTTCTCCCCCTTTAATCTAAA